AGCAAACATAGAATTTTTTAAGGATGGCCTTAGTCGTAGGGTTATAAGCCCGCCTCACACGCTGTGGAACTTGCTGTGCCATCGTCCAAGCGTGTGCGCATGCAAAATCCCTCAATCTGCGTCGTGTGGAAAATATCACACGTGTTTGATATTTTCTTCCACGTGTGCAAGATTGAACAGCGTGTGCGAGTGGCTGTGTAAATTTCCACACTCAATTCGCATTGTTCGCTTGGACGCATTGCATTTTTTTTCAGCTCGCAGCTCGCAGCTCGCATATCAGGCAGCTCGCATAATAGAGGCATGTCCAAGAACTGATCGATCAAACGTCGTGTGAACGCTCTCTTCAACGACGCTCCGTGTCCAAGCGAACAATCAAGAACAATGCGAACTGAGTGTGGAAATTTACACAGCCACTCCGCACACGTTGTTCAATCTTCCACACGTGGAAGAAAATATCAAACACGTGTGATATTTTCCACACGACGCAGATCAAGGGATTTTGCATCAGCACACGCTGTGGAACTTGCTGACAACGTGTGGACAATGGCGCAGCAAGTTCCACAGCGTGTGCGGCGGGCTTTAGGGTTGGGGTTAGGGAATTAGGGTTAGGGTTTTTGCATCATTCTTTGATATACGGAAAGTCTGATGCGGAAGTTGATACGCGTAGTATGGAATATGACCATGCGCAACCACCAGCACCATCAGCAGGCTGTACAGTATGCATTCAACTTTCGAAACAAAACAGAAATATAGAGACTTTGGTAGTAAATACATATATCATGTTTATTTACTATCATTTCATGTTGACACGTTCCAATTGCCTGTGGCACCATGCCATATCAAGTTCAGATAATCTAGGTCTTAAACCTGCACATTTTCACGTGGCTGTCTGGTATGGACTTTCTTGCGGCTCCTTGGTATGGGCTCTTGTGCATGGTATCTCTCTCATAGGTTTATCAATAGTAAGCTCATGTAACATTCAACAGTCCAGTTAACCAACTAAAATTATCTGCTAGGTACTAGCAATGGGTGAGATGAATTTGACCTAAAGCAGGGGACACACCATGCGAATTTATTCGCACGACCGCAGCGGATTTTAAAACTGCCGCAGAATTCGCATGATGTGTCCGCTCAAGCGCGGGCGGATTTTGCCGCAAATTTCATCCGGACCGAAATTCGCAGCGATCAAACGTTTGATATTTTTGCTGCGGACTTTTACCGCTGCGTACAGCCGTGTGGCGACAGTAGATCACGTGTAGTGTGTCTGCTGCAGTCGTGCGAATAAAAATAATATGAACGCACATTCACAAATACTACCGTACCTCTCAATTTCAGTTCCACTGTTGTGTCACTGTTGTGTCACTGTATCTCAACTTTCCTTCATAAAAACTAACGCTGAACGCTCCCGCACTCGATCGCCAGCGCTGCGAGTCTGCTCTGTCGCCATTATAATGATAATAATTATAAAATATCCCAATTTAAGTGCCTGTGGGATCCACATAGATAACTTTTTCCTAATATAAATGTAGATGTACTACATATCTGAAGTACAATTTGTTAGTCCCATTGTTGATGGAACGAAATTAAAGGCTACATGGCTCAGGGGGCGGCATAAGCTCCACCTGTATTTTGTCAAATTGAGAACAGCGACAGTAAATTCGAAGCGCTATCTAAAGCCCGCCGCACACGGTGAATTATCTGCTGAGCCAACGGCCTCAGGCAGTTGGCTCAGCAGATAGCTCAGAGTGTGCGCGCAGATTCTGCACGATTTTTGGCCTCGCGTGGCTGTGAGACCGATATCTATCGTGTTTGATATTTGTGGCCACGCGAGGCCAGAAACTCAGCGTGTGCGGGCTCCGTGAGCTATCAGCTCAGCCACAAATATTTACCGACCAATGAAAGCGCAGGAATAGGGCATGTGATTTAAAATGTCGGCGCCCACTGAACAGCAGAAAACTCTTCTGTAGATTCTGTGATTTTGCACGTACACGTGCGTGCGTGCATGAGTGTGTGCGTGCGTGCGTGCGTGCGTGCGTGCGTGCGTCCGTGTGTGGGCACGTACACGTGCGTGCGTGCGTGTGC